ATTATATTGGAAACCTTCTATTACGTGTCACTGAAATGATGTTTATGAAACTCTGAAACTAATAATATCTAATCTAATAATTTCCAACTGGGACCCATTAAAGGAACTAAAGTCCCCAATTCTGCAGATAATCCATTTCAAGGAAAGAAATGTCGCCATTAACTATTATCGATATACATCTAGGAATTATAATAACCAGTACAAACCCTATCTTTTTCCTTATCTTAGCTTTACATTTACATTGATTTATTTGTTAAAACTGAAACAAGTCTGTTAATATTTTCTTTTTCTATCGTAGATTTTCTTATTTTCGTATTTCGTATTTTTTCCATTCTTATTTCTTTTTCAAATTTGTTATCCTTTTCCTCCGGTTTTTTAATCTTTTTCTGGTTTCTCAATCATTTTCTTCTGGTTTCTTAATCCTTTTCCTCTATTTTCTTAATCCTTTTCTTCTGGTTTCTTAATCCTTTTCTTCTGGTTTCTTAATTCTTTTCTTCTGGTTTCTTAATCCTTTTTGTTTGGCTTCTGAATCCTATTCTCCTAGTTTCTTAATTCTTTTCTTCTAGTTTCTTAATCCTTTTCTTCTGGTTTCTTAGTCCTTTTCTTCTAATTTCTTAATCCTTTTTGTTTGGTTTCTGAATCCTATTCTTCTAGTTTCTTAATCCTTTTCTTCTGGTTTCTTAATTTTTTTCTAGTTTCTTAATCCTTTTATTCTGTTTTCTTAATCCTTTTCTTCTGGTTTCTTAATCCTTTTCTTCTGGTTTCTTAATCCTTTTCTCCTAGTTTCTTAATTCTTTTCTTCTAGTTTCTCAATCTTTTTCTTCTGGTTTCTTAATCCTTTTCTTCTGGTTTCTTAATCCTTTTCTTCTGGTTTCTTAATCCTTTTTTTTGGTTTCTTAATCCTTTTATTCTAGTTTCTTAATCATTTTCTTCTAGTTTCTTAACCCTTTTCTTCTAGTTTCTTAATCCTTTTCTTCTAATTTCCTAATCCTTTTCTTCTAATTTCTTAATCTTTTTCTTCTGGTTTCTTAATCCTTTTCTTCTGGTTTCTTAATCCTTTTCCTCTAATTTCTTAATCCCTTTCTTCTGGTTTCTTAATCCTTTTCCTCTAATTTCTTAATCCCTTTCTTCTGGTTTCTTAATTTTTTCCCCCTGGTTTCTTAATCCTTTTCTTCTGGTTTCCTAATCCTTTTCTTCTGGTTTCTTAATCCTTTTCTTCGGTTTCTTAATCCTTTTCTTCGGTTTCTTAATCCTTTTTCTGGTTTCTTAATTTTTTTCCCCAGCTTCTTCATCCTTTTCTCCGGTTTGTTGATCCGCTACCGGATTTGTTATTTCTTTTCCTAGTTTTCTATTCCTATTCCAGGTTTTGTATTCCTATTTCAGGTTTTGTATACCTATTTCAGGTTTTGTATTCTATTTCAGGTTTTCTATTCCTTGTCCATGTTTTCTATGCCTATTTCAGGTTTTGAATTCCTATTCTATTCCTATTGCAGCATAGTTCTTGCTGTGAGAGGTTTCGTGATTTCTGAATCAAAGATAAAACAGGACTCGCTAGTCAACTTTGAACCAAAACTATTCCAAAAATTCTGAGCTGACTCTGCACTTTTTTCATATTCTAGTGTATTAAAAATAACTGAAATTTACATGCACTGGAAAAAATGTTTAAATTTAGATTGATAAAAACTCAAGACTTTGGTGGGTTTTTACAACATTTAAACCTGCTCCCCCCCCCTGGAAACATTTTTTTCGACTTTATGTGCCGATGGAGAAGTTGGCGGGTAAATAATTCTGGACTTTAAATGTTCGCCATCGGTTTGTCGGAGGCTAAATGTTTGCAGGGCCCGCCCCCCACCTACCAACAAAACGCAAAACTTGATCAGCATTTTGCCAAAAGTACTCTTCTAAACCAAGATCTTCGTAATTTTTAAATTAAATTAATAAATCTATGGCTTGAGCTCAAAAAAAGTATGATTGTGAGTTAGTAAGGTAAGTGAAAGGGCCAAGGCATTGCATCGCTCCAAAGTCATCCAAGCCCTGACAAACTGCTTGGATCTCTGTGTCCTCAGAGATCTTCAAAAAATACATCAATTTGAGTCGAATTAATCATGGAGTAGAATCAAAATATTATTTTGAGTAAATGATCAATAACAATATTATTGAACTATTAGAACTGACAAAAGACGACAAGTTCCTATATCCGTGTTCTCATTATTGTATGTCATTTTTCTTTTATGGTAAATATCCCTCCTATAAAAGGTTCGAAAGGTTTGCTAAAGGTCCAGGGGTCGTAAACTCCACTTTTATAACAGTTTAGAATATCTGTTTTAAAAAGTTTACTGTTGGTAAAGTTTCCTTTTCCTTTAGAAACATTATTATGATGAACCGTCATTTTCGTTTATTTTGATAAAAATTGAATTAAAGTTTGGACAGTTATCTTTTGTTTTATGCAAAAACTAGAGTATTTACCAAGTTTACTAGGCAATACAGACTACAGGAGGAAGAAGTAGGAGTCAAGGGGTACATCTTCCGGTACACCTGGAGTAGGGATCAGGAGGGGATATATACTGGTATACCTGGAGTAGGGATCAGGAGGGGATATATCCAGGTATACCTGGAGTAGGGATCAGAAGGGGATATACCCAGGTATAACTGGAATAGGAATCAGGAGGGGATGTATACATTGAGTAGGGTTTGGGAGGTGATATATCCAGATATGCCTGGAGTAGGTATCAGGAGGGGATATATCCAGGTATACCTTGAGTAGGCATCAGGAGGGGATATACCCAGTTATACCTGGAGTAGTGATCAGTAGGGGATATATCCAGTTTTACCTGGAGTAGGGATCAGGAGGGGATATACCCAGTTATACCTGGAGTAGGGATCAGGAGGGATATACCCAGTTATACCTGGAGTAGGGATCAGGAGGGGATATACCCAGTTATAATTGGAGTAGGGATCAGGAGGGGATATGTCCAGGTATACCTGGAGTAGGGATCAGGAGGGGATATATTCAGTTATACCTGGAATAGGGATCAGGAACTGATACTGATTTTCTATTTCCTATATCTTTGCAACCCAATATCGTAGACCTTGGATATTTCAAACTTTGAATTCTGGTAGATTAATTAATCTAAGTTTGAAATGCCAAAGGTTTACACCGTCAGGTTTGTTCCGAAGATAAAGAAATTAGAAACATTGATTTTGTGGCAAAGACTCAATTCCCTTCCAACATATCTCTGAGCTAAGAATTAAACTTTTTTTCATTATAAAAAATATCCTTAAAATGTCCCAAGAAACACGGGAATAGAAAGAAAGATTTTGAAATCGTCTTTAAAAAAATTCTATCTAGTATGGTGACTGGTGAGTGGGACGTTTACAAGAAAAGAAATAATAATTTGTTTTACTCCAACATCTTACAGAAATATAACGGTCACATCATACAACTTTTTACAGAGATAATAAAACATCGTAACCTTATAATGGCCAATCGAAATTCGGTTTCGAAATCGACACTTAAGGCTAAAATTTATGGGGTCACCCTGTACATCAAATAGAGGTTTGAGATATTAAAATAAACATTAATTAGAAATTAGAATTTGAAACAGTTTTTCTAAATATTTGTTCTTATATAAATAAAATATAGTTTTCAAGGTCTTTCTTATTTAAGAAAAGAATTCTCCAACCGCGGTTCTAAAAGATTGCAGAGAAAATTCTGGAAAGAATTAGTATTCAGTTTTCAAGTGTCGGTCTTCATTAACTCAGCCTCAATTAGGAAACCCCCAGAGTGCGCGGGGTAATTACTGAGACGAGGATTCGTCTTAGCTCCGAGTTTTTACGGCACTGGTAGTGCTAGCTCCCCCAGCACACGTACACACATAGGATATCAGAGATAAAACGGAGAATAATTAATGAAGATATTTAGGTTTTTAACTCTATTTCTTTGTGTTGTATGAATGTGTTAGATTTGCATAAAATGCGGAGAGAAATCTGTTGGTTTACTGAGAGGGAATAATAAACAACTAGGGAGGCCATGTTTTTATTATGTATTTTTCTCATTAAATCCTTGACACAGGGTGTCCAACACCGCAGTATTTAGTCATTAACATTTCTCGTGCGTGTGTCCTGTAGGAGTCAGTCAATTTAGAGGATGTTAGGTACTTTCCCAAAGGCATTTTCCCAAGCGGCAATTTCCCAAATGTGCAAATTTCAATGCGGCAACTTTCCAAATCTGTCCTAGCTACAGTGCTTGGCCCCTATCCTGTTCTAGTCGCAGCGATCAAACCAGTAGCTCATAACAGTCGCAGCGCTCGCCTCCCATATTTGACATTTTTATAAAAACCTAAATTTATTCTCTTTGATTCTTTTTTCGTTCCAAGCAGCAAATTAAAAAGCCCGTGGGATGTTTTTGTATTAAAATACACATTGATATAATTAAATCTTAAAACACCTTGAATTCAGCTACATTGTAAAAGAAAGAAAAAAATCCAAATTTTTTATTGTTATTTTTGTTCTTCTTTCGTGCTATTTGAGTTAAAGGATTAATTCTCCGATATATCTTTACTTCTCTTACGCATTCCTGAATAGTTTTGCATTTGTGAAATAGATCGCTGCCAGACAAAAACTTTTTCTTCGAGAAAAACATAAAACATAAAAAAGTATATAAGCATTTTGCCAATTACTCCTTTTAAGATAAACGTTTTCAAATGTCCATGTCTATAGGCTATTCAAAAGTTGAGTAAGTTAATAATGTAAAACATAAGACAAAGGGGCTTATCTGGATGAAATGCTAGTAGGTTTTCTAACACAAGACAGAACAGTTGTTTTTTAACTGTTGCTGATGAACTGTTTTCATTCCTCCGAAAATGACTTGAAAATACTTTTCAAATGAATTTAAATTGATCCTGATTGTTTTCAGAATTATTCTCGAGAAATATTTTGAAAAATAATATTTGTTCTGATTAATTAAAGATGACTCAGGACGAGCCGAAGGATTACTAATCACAGTTATCTCAACAATTCATTGATAATAACCAACAAAGGAGCCGACTCCGACCTGACCTTCATGAACTTAACAAATACAATTGATTCTCAGGTTTAAGGTTTAGTTTTACTCAGGATGCAGGTCTTTATCCTTCTCCTTCTTCTCACAGGGGTTTTAGCTCAGGATTGTCAGAACTGCAGGGGTGGAGCAGGATGCTGTTGTAAGGATTCTATGATCAATGATGGAGGTTTTATATACTGTTCCTGCCAAGCTTCGGCTCCGGTAGCAGTCCTGGATACGAGTATAACTGTCTCCTGTGATCCAGGATTTACCGAGGGATGCACGCGAAAGTGCGAATGGAGAACTCCAATGGGAATATGTAAATATGAGAATAAAAATTGGAGCTGTGACCAAGCTGTGACTGGAGTAGATTTTAGATATCAAAACTGTGATATTCAAGTTCAAGTGACCTCTGCACTTTTGGGGAACTGGACTTGTCTCTCTACTGTATACTCAGGGAGGAAAAATTAATTTTGTAGCAATTCAGAACAAAATTTTGTTCTTACTCTTTCTATATTAATTACAAGAATTAGTGAAATTTTCATCAATTAACTACTATTTGTTTAAAACTACAGTTAGAACCAGTAAATTGTGGAAAAGGAAGACGACATTAAAGTTATAATAAAGAGTATTTGATGTTGTTACAAAGCAAATAGTGACTTATTTAATCGCTTATTACGTGAAATGGTTCTGTTTCCACTGCACAATGGCTGTGTCTCATGTTCATTTAACTATATTTAAAGTCATACTTGAGTCTAAAAGTCGTCATCCTATTCCAAAGTTTTCTGTAAGAAGGTTTTAACTTAATTAATATTATTTTGATCCTCCTCAGATACCTTCTCTGACTATGTTAACCTGAGCCTAGAAGTTGATTCTGTAATTACAGTCAAAACTACTCTTGCGATAGTTCTTCCGATTGCCGCGGTTCTTCTTATTGTTCTTGTCATTCTTCTTATATTCTTCTGTTGTCCTACTCTATGTGCAGGTTTTCTCTGCTGTTCCAGGAGGAATAGAGATCCAGAGAAGAATGAGCGAGGTCAGGAAATGTTATACGATGAGATTGTAGAAAACCCACAAAGTGACGTAGATAGAGAAGTGTACAGTGAGAATCGGAGAAGAGAACCTGTTAAAGAAGTGTACAGTGAGGACCGGAGAAGAGAACCGGTTAGAGAAGTGTACAGCGAGGATCGGAGGAGAGAACCGGTTAGAGAAATGTACAGAGAGGACCGGAGAAGAGAACCGGTTAGAGAAGTGTACAATGAGGATCGGAGGAGAGAACCGGTTAGAGAAGTGTACAGTGAGGATCGAGTGCTCGAACCAAGAGTTGAAGTTATGTACGCACAGCCCCGAATAAGAGATGGATCCGGAAGAGATACAAGGACTGCTCGGAAGATCAGCAAACCTCCCGGAGACCTACCGGAGAAAATACGTAAAGCTTCCAGAGCTCAATATTAACCTTTGATTTTAATCTGCTTAAGTGCTCAAATTACAAATAATAAAACATAAATATTTTTGTTGTAATATTACTAGTGGTTGTAATATTACTAGTGGTTGTAATATTACTAGTGGTTGTAACAATTAAGATTAATGACAACTTTGTAGAAAAAAGTTTTATGATAAAGTGTTTATATCTGTTTTTATTCTCAATTCGTTTGTTCAAGTTTTCTAAAGAATTTTTAATATGAATTTTTTATTTAAAGTTTAAGCTTAAAAACTATTGTAAACAATTTCAACCTAAATCATTTCAAATGTTATCCCATTTTGTAAGTTTCATAAATATAATACATAATATAAAGCATTGTGATAAACCAGCTTTTAAAATTCGAGCGGTTTTTGGTTTTGCAGTTCTTTTAACGAAAGTTAATGATTTTTATTTATTTAAACTGTGCTGAAAACTTTAGAATGGTGGATATCGGGATTAATGCTTGATCCTCTCTTTTTGATAATCTCAAGATTAACATAATCTTGCAAGATTATCTTAAAAGTGTATGAAAAACGATAAAATTCAAATTAATATTTAATCATCTGAGAAACTGTAGCAGCCAATCAGAGAAAAGCGGGCAACCAATGAGAGAACAGAAATATTCTCATTGGAGAAAACAATTAACGGATATCCAAGGAGAGAGAAAAAGAGTGGATTAGGACGAAAATGAAAAGTTTCCACAGTGGATATTCGGATCAAGAAGTCAGGATTAAAGTTTATCCATTCTAAAGTTCCCAGCTCTGGTTTTTTTTTCAATATTTTTTCCAAAATATATTTTACCATAAATTTGCCCATTTAAGAAATAATATCACAAAAAACAAAGATAGTTTTTTTTTCTTAGTTAAATATTCAATTCTCCTTATTGCTTCCTGAATAGCCAGTTGTTTTGGCAAAAAAAAATTTATTTTAAATGGATGCAAAAACAAACATTTTTTGGCCGCGAAATGATTTAAAAAACAAGTGACATTTTTGGATAAGTTTAAAAGATATTTAAGTAAGGATTGAGAACCCCTGGATATGAAATCTGCTTTAAATAATTTATTAGAGAGTATTCCCTCTTGTAACATCTATTCAGGATCAGATCTGAGTAGACATGGTTTACACTTTTTAACATTGTACATTGTGCACCCAATACTTCTACTTAAACAATGTCAAAGGAATTGAGTCTTTGCCACAAACTCTGATTTTCAAATCCCAATATCTTTTTGACACAATGTCGTAGATCTTTGATATTTCAAACTTTGAATTGTCTTAGATTAAATTATCAAAGTTTGAAATACCAAAGGCTCATGCTAATATTTTGCAAAGTTATATGGATTAGAAAATTCGAGTTTGTGGTAAAGACTCAATTCCTTTAATGGATCCAAGCTGCATTAATCGAGAATTCAAAACTATGAGGTATTAGAAATTACAACGAAAAATCCAATGCAGTTAAAAAAAATTATTTTTAGTAGATTTGGAGAGGCGAATCGTCATGCTTATTATAGTTTTAAATAAAAAATACGATAGTGGCGGGCGAATATATCAATACAATACAACGACTTTCTAAAGCACCTTAGCTTCGTAACAAGCTTGTAGATACCCCAAACTATACATAAAAAGAACAAAAATATAGATTTCTTCATGAGAGGCATAATGATATCCAAATGATAGCAGATATAAAAAGAAAAAAAATATTTCAGAAATTCAGGATTTTAAATATTGTTCTGTGATTGTTTACAGATGAGAACTCAACTCACTCAACAGTTGAACACATAATCATGTGTTACAAGATCAAGCAGTTCTTGAGTAACACGGAGTCGGGTTCGGATAGTTTCTCCAAGAAGATTTATCAATCCTGTAATCTTGGTTCCTGTCTCAAGGATGATACAGGATAGGACGGAGCTGAGGTTCCTCGTGAATGCTTCCACCTTGTGGTTCAGAATATCAGGGAGCTGATTAGGACGAAGAAGACGGTAGGGATGAAACGAGGAGCAGTTCATGTTGAATACATCCCTGGAAATAATATATTTTTAATCCTTTGTAACGAAAGAATGATTAAATTTTCACTTCAAAGAAAAAGATTTTGGAGATTTAATTTCTCCCGATTAAACTCAACAATTTTAAAATCCATTCTTTCAACATAATTTAGTTTGGTCGTTTAAAAATGAACTAGAATAATTCGTTGCCAAAACTGAGTTTTTTAATAACTTTTGTAGTTATATTTTTTCTTTATCTGTTATTTGAAATATGCTAATTTCTTGTCTAATTAAAATTAAAAAGCTCAAACAAATCATTAAAATACAAAAACTTTAAATTATCCCCATCGCAAAATTTCAATTTTAAAAACTAAATTTTTCATAACATATTTATTTTTTCTATTGGAATAATGTTAACAAATCTTAGATAAAATTAGAGAAATGAATTAGTAAATACGTTTATAAATATTTAAATGCAATATTTACAAATATTTATAAGTTTGCTCTTTCTAACAAAGTAGGTTAAAAGATAACCACAAATGTCATGTTCTAATTGTTTCAAAAAGTGCAAAGTTATGATTCATAGAATAAATTTTTGGAAATGAATGATCAGAGCTGGGAACTTTAGAATGGTGGATATCGAGATTAATGCTTGATCTCCTCTTCTTCCTAATCTCCAGATTAAATAACGCTTGTTCTCCTCTTGTTATTAATCTCCAGAGCTGGGAACTTTTGGATGATGGTGGATATCGGGATTAAGGCTTGATCCACTCTTTCACTTAATCTCGAAATTAAATAATGCTTGTTCTCCTCTTGTCATTAATCTCCAGAGCTGAAAACTTTAGAATGGTGGATATCGGGATTAAGGCTTAATCCACTCTTTTTCTTAATCTCGAAATTAAATATTGCTTGTTCTTCTCTCATTTTTAATCTCCAGATTAATTATCCGATCAGGATTAAGGATATCCAATTCTAAAGTTTTCAGCTCAGATTAATTAACCGATCGGGATTAAGGATATTGAATTCTAAAGTTTTCAGAGCTGGGAACTTTAGAATGGTGGATATCGGGATTAATGCTTGTTCTCCTCTTGTTATTAATCTCCAGATTAACTAACCGATCGGGATTAAGGATATCCTATTCTAAAGTTTTCAGAACAAATTATATACAGTCCGAATAGAATACGATGCGCTGAGCCCAAAACTTAAGACAGGGTATCGTTATAAAAACCAGTTTTGAAACCTGGGTTTCACGAATGGGGTTAGGAAGTTTTGTAGATATCAATATTTTTGTTATGAAATATTATATTATTTAGTTTCTCCATATGCTCCTTTTTTTCGAATCTCTTAAATTAAAATCTAGTTAAATGTTAAGACCCCAAAAAGGAAACTCGGGAGTTTCATTCAACGATGCTCTATTAAATTTCGGGCTCTGGTGTAAATGAGGGTATACGTCTTGTTTTGTACGCAAAATAATGTGAAAAAGAACAACAAAAAATGAATGGAAACAAATATTATATTTTGCTATTTTTGTCCATAATGGAAGAAGCCGAAAAGCCAATCCTTCAATATTTAAAATTAATAAAAATTCTTAAAAAAATATATGGTTGAGTATACACTCTCATTTTATGTATGTTTTTAATTTTAATTCAACCTTTGGTGTACAATTTGACAATATTTTAGCTTACAGAGCTGTTTAGATATGCTTTTTTTAAAGTATATTCGCCGCCAAAAAGTAAAAAAAAACCAAAGATTTATGTTTAATTGGGCTAATTGGGATCGAAAGTCACAGCTTGCTGGGACAAGGTCAGCGTGTACAATACATTATACCTATAAATTATATTAGGATAAATCAAAGCTTGGTTCTTTTTACCCAGTTTTCTCACCGATCCTACTACACAGGGAAACTTGGACGATCTGAAAGGATAAAAAATGTTAGATAATATTTCACATCAAAACTGGACTGTAGTAGTGTAGGACGTTATAAAGTAAAATGTTTATTTATAGAGTGCCATGTTCTATTCACAACGGTACCTTAAATAGCTTTGTATGATAAAGAATCAAAATGATATCCGTGTTTTTGGTATTGAAAATTGATTACTTTTTATTGTACTTTGGTATTTGGTAATCTCATCAAGAGTCTCTAACCTAAGACTATAAACTCTGGGTGCTGAGAATGAAGAGGTAATCAAACTGTCTCCTAGAGCAGATAACGAGTCTCCAGATGTTGTTCTTGTTCTTTGTAATCCTTTTCCGTGAAGACTTAGAAACTAATAAAAAAATATGTTTCAATAAAATATAAAAATAATTCCTAACTTTATTAAAGTTTGTACACAAGGAAAAACCTGATTTTGATATTCGTCTATGATCTTGAAATTGTTTCAAAACAAGAGAATAATGTGAAAAGAAACTGAGTTTTTGCCAAAAGCTAAAATATCCTAATCCTTATATCTTTGCAACCTGATGGTGTAAACCATTAATATTGAAAACTTAGATTATTCAATCTAGCAGAGTTCAAAGTTTAAAAAGTTAAAGGTACACAATATTGGGTTGCAAAGATATAGGGAAAAGAAAACCAGAGTCTGTGGCAAGAACTCAATTCCTTTGCTTTAAACCCTAGTCTACTAGGTATAAATGAATTGTACTACAGGGTGTCCCAATAAACATGGGAATTCAGTGATGACTTACTTTTATATCGTCTTCGATCCATGCGGCATTTTTTTCATAAACACAATTATCAAATATCAGAAGAAAAGACGACTTTCTAGACGTTTCTCCATTCCCATGTTTATTGGGACACCCTGTACATATACCCTGAAGCAGGGGCGTATACAGGGTGGGGGGCTAATCCTCCGCTAACATATAAAGTTAAAACTATGATTTCCAGGATAAATAGATTCCGAACCTGTCCTCCGTTTATCAGAAGAATCATCAACAGAAGAAGAGCGTTGTCGTCTTCAATTCCAGATTCTTAAATACAATTATATTTATCACAAACTTTTTACACAGTAGAATCGCTAGAATATCATAAACTCATTACATGGGAAATTAGAATTAAGTTTAAGTTTTTAAGAGAAGATATCTAATCAAATAGATTTATCAGTATCTTATGTAATCCACCGTAAAGAATTACAAAAAAACATCTAAACGCTCCAACCCTCTTTTGTTTTCATTAAATGTTAAGACAAAAATAATGTTCTAGATAAAAACGGGAATAATCACCTGTTTCCTGTTTTACAGAGTCCACTGTATCGAGAAGCTTTTTGTAAGTTTGAAAAATGAATTTATCGAGAAGGTTTAGTTTATGCTCATATACTGCTCTATGCGATGATGTGTTTCTCTGAAAAATAGCAGATAATCAAATATAGAAAGATTTTTAACTTAGTCTAAATAAAAAATTTAATTTATAGTTTTTTATTAGTGCAAATTAACAAAAAAAAGGGAACAGGAGAATCAGGAGGATCAGGAGGTTCAGGAGGATCAGGAGGATCAGGAGAATCAGGAGGATCAAGAAGATCAGGAAGATCAGGATGATTTGAATAATTTGTATAATTTGGATAATTTGTATAACTTGCATAAATTGGATAATTTGGATAATTTGAATAATTTGTATAATTTGGATAATTTGTATAACTTGTATGATTTGGATAATTTGTATAATTTGGATAATTTGTATAATTTGGATAATTTGTATAATTTGTATAATTTGCTTTCGTTGTATAATTTGGATAATTTGGATAATTTGGATAATTTGGATAATTTGGATAATTTGGATAATTTGAATAATTTGTATAATTTGGACACCTTGCGTCCGGAAAATCAAGTGCTTGTCAAGCCTGGTTCTATGTTCTCCTCTGGACAGGAATGTAAATATGGATAAAAAGTTTATTAAGTATTCAATACAGAGGAGAGAAGAAACCACTATAGTGACTCAACAGTAAAAACATGATAAACAAAGAAAAAAGTTCAAAAACTGTTCAGAGTTTACTAAATATATAATGTATATACAGGGCTATGAAGTAAACAATGAACACAAGAAAAAGGAATTTTTAATAATTCTTGCAAACCTAATAATTCTAAAGTGATCAACCCTTATAAAGTAATATAGGATATAACCTAATCCCCTCTACTGACCTAGTAGAGTTTAAAAGAACCTAATCCTCCCTACCAACCTAATAGAGTAGGGGAGAACCTAATCATCTTTACCAACCTAGTAGAGTAGGAGAGAACCTTATTCTCTCCACCAACCTAGTAGACTATGGGAGAATCTAATCCTCTCTACCAACCTGGTAGAGTAGGAAAGAACCTAATCCTCTTTACCATCCTAGTAGAGTAGGGGAGAACCTAATCCTCTTTACCATTCTAGTAGAGTAGGAAAGAACCTAATCCTCTCTACCTTCCTAGTAGAGTAGGAAAGAACCTAATCCTCTTTACCAATCTAGTAGAGTAGGAGAGAACTTAATTCTCTCCACCAACGTACATAGTATAGAGTAGGAGAGAAACTAATTCTCTTCACCAACCTAATAGAGTAGGGGAGAACCTAATCCTCTCTACCAACGTAGAGTAGGAGAACACCTAATTCTCTCCACCAATCTAATTGACTAGGGGAGAACCTAATCCTCTCTACCAACTTGGTATTGTAGGAAGGAACCTAATCCTTGCTACAAACCTATCATAATAGTAGATTATACTTTCTTTATATTTTTTTCACCAATCACTTAAAGTAGAATAGAACTTAATCCTCTCCGCCAATTAATAGACTACAAGAAACCCTGCTCATCTACGACAATACTTTAATCTCGTAAGAGAGAACTAATACTGCAACCCTCTAAAAATACCTGAGATTCGGAGATAAACCCTTTGTTTCCAATCTGATGTAAAGGAGAAACAAATGATAAAGTTGACATAAGCAGGAGCCTAAACCATACTTTTGTTCGAACCATCCTTCGCGGGAGTTCAACATAAACTGATCACATAAATACCAGAAGACGCATAAAAATGAAGAACTTATGAGTGAAATATCAAATTGGAATTAAGTAAATTTGAATATGTTTTTGTAAGATCATATTTATCAATGTGTAAATTAAAGACACCATTTATTTTATTTAATGTGTTCATAATGAAGCAAAAATATCATTATTTAAATCATTTATTATAAAAACTTTTTTTTTCGCAAACTATTCTATACTTGAAAGTAATAATTATTTCTTATCTACGAGTTCCTTTCTTTTATCAAATCAGAATTGAATACAAAAACTAATGTCCAGTTTTCTGCGTTTTAAGTTCAACTCCAGTGGCATATTTTCTAACGTGTATTGACAAGTATTCTGAAAACAAATAAACAGTTTCATATAAAATCTAAATCAACAAGACCATAAAACCTTCCTACGCACCTCTCTCCGTCCCATGGAAAAAGTTACGCGATTAAAATGTCTCCAACGCAATATCACAATAGTACACAATAGTACACAACAGTACACAATAGTACACAATAGTACACAATAGTACACAATAGTACACAATAGTACACAATAGTACACAAAAGTACACAATAGTACGCTATAGTACACAATAGTACACAATACCTCCCTGTGTACCTCTGTTTAATAAAATAATAAAAAAAATATTAAATACAAAAAAGAACACAAAACATTCTTGCATGGATCATAGGAATACAGGATTTCTAAACCTCCAGCTCTGAATTATTACGGAGAACCGGAAGACGTGAATAGCTCCGTGTGAGGTCTGTTGGCTCCGCTATCCCGCATACAGCTGCAAATCATTTTTAGAATTAATTCATATCCTGACTTTCCAGATTTGCATTTTTATTGTTATACTAATGAGGTTTTTAGATAAACCATTCAAATCATTTGTAATAAATATTAGACAACCGTAATAGTTTAGACCAAAGATAGATGTACATTGTGAATGATACATTATTAATCTCTTAAAGGAACCTTTTCTCTAGACTAGTTCCTAAATGACAATTTTTGCAAGTGGACTTCTTTTAAGGATAAAGTAAAAAAAAAAGTTGGACAAAATATTAATCAAGGGGCAGAGAAATCATCTTTGGTCTTAATTTTAACGAAATCATATCTTATTAACAAAAATAGAAGGGGCAAGCTTTCCTAGTCTCTCATCAAGAACCATTTTGATGTATTGAAATTCTTAAAAGTACTGTTAAAGAGTGGCATGTCGGATTCACAACGGTAACATGAAAAGTCGGATCGAGAATAAATGCAATAAAAAATTATCATTTTCAAGTTTGGTTTCTGTATGAAAGCATCTTGTGAATTTCTGCTGCAGAAACATTGGAGGAAATTCTCAGAATCAAACAGTTTTCAAGCTAAAAAAACGAGAATATCTCCCCATTGTTGATAAGATAAAGGTTTACAGGGTACCGTTGTGTAAAGAGAATGCCCATTTCTAAAAAAAAGGTTCACTTGAAATTACAAAAACAGTTTCTTTAAGTAAATGTTTATTGCTTTGTGAGAGGTTTAGCTACAGAGGTAAAAGTAAAGCATCCAAAATACTAAAAGAAGGTGCGTAGCACTCTGAATTCCTAGTGAAGCATAAGCTAGTAATGAACAATAGAATAAGATGTTTAAGAAGAAAAGAAGAAAGTAGAGAGAGAAAACCCGATATCTGAATTGACAGCAAATATAGAAAATTCAATTACTTATCCCTGTAATAGTACACAATAGTACACAATAGTACACAATAGTAAGTACACAATAGTACACAATAGTACACAATAGTACACAATAGTACACAATAGTACACAATAGTACACAATAGTACACAATAGTACACAATAGTACACATTGTGAGCTCGTAGCCAACTAACACTTGCGAAGGGGGGGGTGACATTTTATTTTTAAGGGTTTAGGGTACAGAAGGGCTAGACCCCCACATGTCAATTTTTTTAAATGAAACCACTATCTAAAGCGTTTAAAGTCTAAAAAACAGATTTTTTCAAATGTTGCAGGTTTGGCTCTGTTTTTAATATACCCCGATTTCTTGTCCTGTGGTTTGTTTAAATATACTTTTAACAGCTGTAAAATGAACGACATGATTCAATTTCTTGCATGTGTTAGTAAAGCGTCATGTATTTCTTAGTGTTTATTAGTCCCTGGCTTAGTCATATTCACTATGCGTATAAAGTCCCTTATTTTAGCAGTTTTCTTAATTCATCCACTAGTTTGGATTTCACGCACAAAAATGTGATAAGCTTTATTCGATCATATTAAAAATTTAAAAACTTTTTTGGTGTTCTCAATAGTTCTTAAATAACAGGAGTTACATTTGAAAACATAAGATTTCACTTTCTTACGTGCAAGTTTTCGTATGCTGATTTCAGTTGTTGAGATTGAAAAGTCCTGTGCAGGTTCCAGGACGTCCTGGCGAACCCTCCTTATTCCCTATTTTGGTTACTTTGTTTTGAGTTTCTCCGAGTTACGGGTTTATATTCCTAGCTTGTCTCAGGACTTGAATAGAAAACTTTTCTAGTAGAATGAGGAGAATGACACCAATATAACTTTTATGGGGCTTTTCAATTGTTGGAGATTGCAGATAATTCCTTCCTACAATTCCGTAACTGTCTGATACAATAATATTCTATTCTTTATCTCTTCATCTATCTCTTTCATATTTGAAAATAAAACTTTGTCAAAATATGATATTTCTGGAACAAAGAAAGGTTGAGTATACGATCCTTTTAACATGTAAAAATAAGCTAAAGAGAAAGGTCAGTTGATTTCAATCTTGAACATCTGGTGGAAAGATGGATTTGAAAACTAAACAGATCCATCAAAACATTCTGGAGACATATGCATGCATATATATACCAGGATACTAGGATACCAGGACACTTGGATACCAGGATACCAGGATACTAGGATACCAGGATACCAGGATACCAGGATACTAGGATACCAGGATACCAGGATACCAGGATACCAGGATACCAGGATACCAAGATACCAGGATACTAGGATACCAGGATACTAGGATACCAGGATACCAGGATACCAGGATACCAGGATACCAGGATACTAGGATGCCAGGATACCAGTATTCTAGGATTCCAGGATACCAGGATACCAGGACACCAGGGTCCAGGATACTAGGATACCAGGATACTAGGATACCAGGATACCAGGATACCAGGATACCTGCAGGATACCAGAATACCAGGATACCATGGTACTAGGATACTAGGATACCAGGATACTAGGATACCAGGATACCAGGATACCAGGATACCAGGATACCAGGATACCAGGATACCAGGATACCAGGATACCAGGATACAAAAAAGTAATGTATGATTTTTTACTAATTTCTACCCACAAAGAATAAGACGACTGTTCGGAATATTTTTGTAATTCCTGTATCATTCTATCATTATATCATTCTATCATCCTAGAAACTTTTAACTTGATTCTTCCTTCGTGAAATCCTTAGGTATATTTCCTTTAAAACTATATGCAATGCATAACCAAAATTTCACCTTTAGACAGATCGATAGTTATATTTACATAGTTCTACAGTAGGAATGAAAACACAAAGTAAAGTACTAGGCTGAGTACAATCTATGGGTTTGAGAACCTAGAGCGCAGAGCCAAGTATTCTCCTGAAATTTAAACAGTGGGTTCGGTAATATTTTAGAGAACTACTCTAATATTACCAGGAATGGGTCCCTAGACCTGTATAGGAATATCTTATTCTCCTGTCCTCTCTCTCTCTCTTTTCTCCCCATGTGGTTCTCTATTTATTTGATTTGTAGACCTGTCCTTAACCCAGTACAGGGAGTATCAATAAACATCAAAATTAAATGACGAATTTTAAAGTTCAGTGGTCGGTGATTATATCAATTTAATGAAGACGACTTTTTATTATTAATGCTTAGAATCCTTACATGGATTTTTCAAATTACAAGTTTACAAGTAAACAAAAGAGAAGCTGTTTATTGACAACCTATCTTTAAATGTTTAAGAAAGTCGTATTTATTCTATTGATATATGGGATGACGACTGTTAGTAATGATCTTGCACAACTTTCCAACTTTTTAAATTTTAATTTTAATCTTCCCTTTTTGCAGTTGAGCGAGGAGATAAACAATGAAAAAAAAAATTACACAGAAGTGGGTAGAATAATTGTCGTCTTCGCTCATTCTCTTGTCAGTTTTTTACCCAGTCAAGGGTTCGAAGGAGCTTTGATCAGAAGAAGAATGACTGAAATGAAGAGATGAAGTATTGATCCACAAATTAAAAGTTCTCACAGTGGATATCGAGATCAAACGATCAGGATAATGAGTATCCATGACACACGTTCTCAGAAAATCTTAATTTCAAATTTGGTATTTTTATAGTTTACTTAATGGTTTTGCTAAGAAAGAAGCTTGTTTTCGACTGCAGGAAAGCATGGATGCATCGGATGGAAAAGGATTCAGTAAAATACGTTGAGTCATCTTAGATATCTCATTCTTTGTGTGAGTAACCCTCTACAAGAATTCAAATATTTAATGATCTTGAAAACTGATTATTTTCAATTGTGGGTTTTCTATCAATTAGACACATGATCAGTTCTTTTTGGAAAACAATGGAGAAATTATTAGAATTAAACATTGTTAGTGTTAAAGCTAGAAAACTAAATTATTTTCCACATTTTTGATTTTTCAGGGTACTGTTGTAAATCGGGCATGTTCTCTTTAAAGGCCCCCCCTTTAAAAAGGGACATGTCTGATTTACAACAGTACCTTGAAATTACGCCTACAGTCCTCTTTAAAAATAAAATTTCAAATCATTTATTTTGTGTGCAGTAACGTACTAATGTATATTGTATATTCTACGGTAAACAAAAAGACAATTTTCAGATAAAAAAGTGTTAGGAAATCCTAAAATTTGGCATTAAAAAAGTTCTCAAATGAAAAGTCGTTATAATATTTCCTACCATAGTGAGGTGACACTTTATTTTTTGAAACTTTTTTTCTGGTTCCATCAATACTATTTCGTACGAAAATGTTCTCAGTAACAAAGTCGTATTGTTATTATATTATATATTTTAATATGTGGCTCAAAATAAAGAGCCATAGGGAGAGGCTTAATCATACATTTCGTTGGCTTAAAATGTACATTGCACCGTGCACATTTGTACAGGAGATTAAGGACAGCATTTTTCAGGACTTTTTTTCTGCGTTTAAATTCTCCAAGTTTTGGGACTTTTTTCTAGGTTTTTACCCCTTCGACATTCGTTATATCTTCAGGACTTGATTCCTGTAATCTTATATACTGAGACTTTATTCAAGACAGTCCCCACGTCATTTTAGGAATACAAGTACCTGGGAATCCTAACCCAGGACTTTATTCCAGAGACTTTTGTCTTGGGAATTCAGGAAATTAGAACTTTTTTACTGCGGTATTATTTCAGGAAACTAATTTTCCTGTAACTTTTTTACACAAGTTCATATTGTACACAGTACGTATTGTTTAAATAATCATTAATCAAGAGTTGAAAGCGGAGAGAGAGAGAGAGAGAGAGAGAAAAGGAACGGATATGACTCTACGTAACCAAGTCTAAATATATACCCTGAGCAGGGTGTGGGATTTGGAAACCTGCCAGCATACGTTGACCCGCACTCCTACTAATTCGAATATCGGATCTAAAAAAACCTACCTTGTTAAATATATACCATTAAAATATATATTTTTCAAACAAAGGTTAATACTAGGTAAAGGTGGTTCAGGTTTGTGTATGGTAAACACTCTCCAGGTATAGGTTTATACAGGAGAGTATTAGGTTAGCCGGCCCTGCTACTCCGGCCTGATCATCCTTCTCAGTTCAGCTGAAACTATCTTCTTAATATATCATAGATTTGTGGGGGTAGGTACAATAATTTATATTTAGAACTATCATTACTATTATCTAATCCCTCTTCATTGCGCATTCCTATTCACTGAAAATTTCCCAAACATTTTAATTCTGTAAAATGTTCCAATAAAATGTATTCAACTTGTATTTTAGTGTTTACTTAGTATTCAACGATATAATTATGTAGCAAAGAAGAGTTTAAAAATATATTGTTTACAGCTGTAGAGATGCATTTTAAGAAGGTTTCTCTTCCTTTGTTACATCAGTACTTTCTTTCATATTATTTTTCAGTTTTTATGAATACATAGATATATTTTACTTTTGTCATTCTTGGAAGAAAAAAACATGAAGAAAACCTGCAAAAACGGGACATTTTTTCAATAAATCGAGTCAAATTTTTGAGACGCATAATTTCACCATGACATATTAAAAGTTTGTGTTAATGTTAGATTCCCTCCATGAAAATATCAGATTGAAAATTTTTTTTTATTATTTTTTTTTTACCACGATACTAATCTATTTTCTGTCAGTGTTTTTTAGTTTAACATTAGCTTGTTACATGAGAATGTTCTTCGCGTAACTCTTATTCGTAATAATATTTTTAACTAGTGTTACATCCATGATATAAGTTACCGCTGTAGTTTAACAGTTTAGTGTAACATTCTTGTGTAACATTCTTAATTTAAGATACAAACTGTGGCCTATCAGTCTTAAATCAGTGTTACATCTTTAATTTAAGTTACAACTGGGGTTTATCAGTCTTGAATTAGTGTTACATTCTTAATTTAAGTTACAGCTGGGGTTTTTTTGTCTTAAATCAGTGTTAGATTCTTAATTTAAGTTACAGCTGGGGTTTCTCGGTCTTAAATCAGTGTTACATCCTTAATTTAAGTTAAGAAGTTGATCAGCTTTGAATTATTGTTACATCCTTAATTTAAGTTACAACTGTAGTCTTGTCAGTCTTAATTCTGTTTTCTTGGGCTTGGCTCTAGGAAACTTTTATATCTTTAATTTTCAATGTAAGAGATCTTAACATTTTCCTACAGTGTATGTTACAGTACAGTACAGTACAGTACAGTACAGTACAGTACAGTACAGTGTATGTAAGATATAAACATCGTTGAACAAAACTGTGTTTACAACTTATTCATTCTTTTTTCCTAAATAATTTTTCATAATTTCTAACCTTGCCTTTGACATCATCTCTCCACTCCTAATATTTTGTCCAGATTCAGATTATTTAAAGAAAGGGAAAGGAGAAGGAGGCAGGGGGGTGAATTTTGGGGGAGTGGATAGTATATCATCACCTTTTAATACAAATTGGAAGGACAAAAAATGTAGATTAGTCAAGATAAAAACAAAGAGAAACTAACAAAAGAATTATCTAAGAATGTGAATTTTAGCAAGGTTGGATCGGGTTATCAACTTATATGAGGTGGTTCAAAACTAGACAACTCCAAAGGATGAATGTTTACAAATGAATATGATGAAAAAGAAAGGAAAGTATCTAGGAAAGATCTAGTTCTTGACCCAGGCCTTATTGACAAGGTCAGGGTATAATATAGGGATGACGTCAGGTAGATGTAGAGCATGAAGTAGTTGAAGGGCAAGACCGACATATAAATATTAAAGGGTTTGAAGGGCAACAACTACATAGAAATAATGAAGGGTTTGAAGGGAAAGAACTATATATAAATAATGAAGGGTTTGAAGGGAAAGAACTATTAAAAATAATGAAGGGTTTGAAGGGAAAGAACTATATATAAATAGTGAAGGGTTTGAAGGGAAAGAACTATATATAAATAATGAAGGGTTTGAAGGGAAAGA